CCCCCCAACCCAATCACTAAAAAAGTTGTTGGCAAATTGAAAAAAAAACAAAAACTTGAGTGAACAAAAGATAGAGAGCTAAATGTCAAAACATGACTCTAAGAAAAAAAACTAAAGGAAGACTTAAAGAATGGCCAAAAACACAAGAAACCCTAGTGAAAGACCTAATTTGTAACTCTTGATTCACAAAGTATAGGAAGAAAAGAGAATAATGTTATGAGAATATAATATACCGCGAGGACAGTGTCACAGATGTTGCAATGGACATAGCAGAGCTGCTCGGAAGGAGGTAAGTGGTCCAATGACAAGGTAGAATTAGGAGTTGAAGAGGACATGATACTCTATTTCCTACTATTTTGCAAACTGATATATTGGCTGTTGCTGCTGTTTGATTGATTTGATTGATTGATGTTTTGACAGTTTCAACTACCAAACTAAACTACCCACTCCCTCCTTGGATCTGCTTTCTTCTTGATAATATTAGTTGGGGAGGTATGAAAACAAAGTGCAAAAATTGTTGCAGGAAAGGCCAGAAATGAAAGAGAAAAGCTGAGAGAGATGATAACTCTTTTTTTTCCCTCACCTGCTTCACTCTCCTTTCTTGGTCCTTATTATAGCTAGGTCATGGATGCAAACTATTTAAGTCATGCATTAATGCATATGCATACTGGACCATACACATGCATGGATGTATGTGATATGTATACATTTATAGATGGAGTAATTGATATACTTGGCCTTTTTTCATTTTATGTGAATAATTAGAAAAGAACATGTGTGGTTGGCATTCCCAATGTATGTATGAAAGGCAGAAGACCGCAGATGTGGGAGCGAGGAGCCAGAAAAGGACGTTTGCATGGAGCGATATAAAGCTCTCAATTCACTTGTTATTTTCAAAGTTCTTTTTAAAAACTCTATGCAAATTTTCTAAACCATCAGTTAACCAATGTGGAATGCATGGGCGGAGGGAAAATTTTCGCTAAGGGAGTTCAAAAAAAAAATTAAAAAATTAAATAAGATTGTAGCTAGTGGGAATTGAGAACCAATGACTTTACAAAGGTTTTGAACCTCCTTGACTACTAATCTATGCTTTTGGGCTATGTCAAGGGGATTCAAAACACAATATATAAAGATAAAAAATAAATTTTCCTTTATATACACAATGTAATTTTTCGGCAAAGGAGGTTCGAGTGAACCCTCTTCCTCCCTCTAAATTCGCTCTTGCATGGGGTCATCTGGATCCAAAAACTTTGACTTAGGCAGACTCCTTTATTAAGGAATTCACCAAATAAATATAAACAATTAATATCAAAACAGTAAATTGTTAAACCAGTTGTGGTAGGATTATTCTAAACGTAAAATTCCGTAATTCCTAAGAGGAGTAGTTTCAAGTACCTTGAGTCAGTTATTTAGGGGATCGTGGAGATCGACGAGGATGTCACACACCGTATAGGTGTGGGGTGGATGAAGTGGAGGTTAGCGTCGGGAGTCCTGTGTAACAAGAAAGTGACAACGTTACTAAAATGTATGTTTTATAGAGCAGTGGTTAGGCCTGCCATGTTGTATGGGACCGAGTGTTGGCCGGTTAAGATTTCACACATCCAGAAGATGAAAGTAGCAGAGATGAGGATGTTGAGGTAGATGTGCGGGCATACAAGGATGGATAAGATTAGGAATGAAGATATTCGAGAGAAGGTGGGCGTGGCCTCCATGGAGGATAAGATGCGGGAAGCAAGACTCAGATGGTTCGGGCACATTCAGAGGAGGAGCACTAAGGCACCGGTGAGGAGGTGTGAACGACTGGCTGTGGTGGACACGAGGAGAGGTAGAGGGAGACCTAAGAAGTATTGGGGAGAGGTGATCAGACAGGACATGGCGCGACTTAGGATTACTGAGGACATGGCCCTTGACAGGGAATTGTGGAGGTCGAGCATTAAGGTTGTAGGCTAGGGGAAGCTGTGAGTATTTCTACAGCGCACTAGAGTGAGACTAGCCAGTTAGGAGTTAGTCTTAGGATGCTACTGGTCAGCTACTGATGCAAGGCTTTATCTGCTGGATATTATTATATCTTCCATATTTTTCGTATTTCCTATATTTCTTATATTGCTGTTATTTTTATTTTATGTTATGTTATGTTATTTTATTATGAGTCTATTGATAGTACTAATATATCGTCTCTTGTCGCTGTGTTGAGCCGAGGGTCTCCTGGAAACAGCCTCTCTGCCCCTCGGGGTAGGGGTAAGATCTGCGTAGATATTACTCTCCCCAGACCCCACTTGTGGGATTATACTGGGTTGTTGTTGTTGTTGTTGTTGTAAAATCCCGTAATGGATGTATGGGCATACTAGGTTAGATAGAATTAGGAATGAAATTATTCGGGACAAGGTGGGAGTGGCCCCTGTGGAGGAAAAGATGCGAGAGGCGAGACTGAGATAGCTCGGGCATATTAAGAGGAGAAGCACAGATGCCCTAATCAGGAGGTGTGGGAGGTTAGTCTTGGGGGTAAGAGGAAGGGTAGAGGTAGGCCAAAAGTCTTGGGGAGAGGTGATCAGGCGGGACATGGCAACTTGAGCTAACTGAGGACATAACCCTGGATATGAGGGTACAGTGTGTAGGTTGAGTATTAGAGTAGAAGGTTAGGAGGTAGTCGTGCGTTTCCATTTGTCTTTATTAGTTCGTTAGTGTTAGTGTTAGTATGGTATCCTTTTATCCTGAGTTTGCTATTTTCGTATATCTTTTTCTGTTATTACTTGTCACCAGTACTTCCTTAGTTTGCTATCAGTGCTCCTTATATATTCTCTATTGCTATCAGACCTCGGTTTTAGTTTCTCTAAATATATTGTCTTACTATTACTCCTTATCGGTACTTCTTTCATATTCTTTATTGCTATCTTGAATTTAGTTTTCTAAATATATTGTCTTGTTATGAATTGCTATCAACGCTCCTTTCATCTTCTTTAGCCGAGGGTCTATCGAAAATATTTTTTCTGCCCTCCCAGGATAGGTGTAAGGCTGCGTACATCATTCCCTCTCCAGACCTCACTTTTGTGATTTTCACTGGGTTAGTTGTTGTTGTTGTTGTTGTTGTTGTTGTTGTTGTTGTTGTTGTTGTTGTTGTTGTTGTTGTTCTCTTTGCGCAAAGTTTAAAACATACTTTTGAAACTTGTGATTTTAAATATGCAGTGATATTTATATTAGGAAGTTTCAAATTAAAATGTTTCATTGTATAAACAAATGTTATTAATTCTTGAACAACTAATAATGAAATAGTGCCATATAAAATGAAACAAAAAGAGTAAATAAAAGTAAAAGTTCATAATAATAAAGGTGGTGATCATAAAAGTGATACAACTATACAAGTAACATATAACAACATGCTAATATATACACTTGTATTGTGAAAAAAATTATACATCATAGTGTAAAGGTTAAATTTATGCAAATAACTTTTCAAAGATTTATGGAGAAGGTCAAAAATTCTCCGTGTATACTATTCGAAATTGCTTAATTTTTCCATCCATTAGATTTTGATCGATTTGTACCTAGCCATTAACAAATTGTCTCATATATGCCCATATCATTAACGGAATTTCAGTATGAAATAAGTGTATTCTACCTGTCCAAAATCTTCGGAAAAAATATCTAATTTACCTCCAATTTTTGCGTTAAGTCAAAGTTACTTTTCTTGTTTGAACCTCCATTAGGAGTCAACGGAAAAAATGAATTTTTTCTATCAGCGAGGTACGATTAAATCAAAATTCTAAGGGGTTTTGGTTGGATAGATGGAATTCGAGGATTAATTATCGCGTGTTAATTATTCCATCTTTTCATATAGGGATAAAAAATATTATAATCCTGAATTTAATTATTTCTTGTAACTTGTACCAAACGAGCCCTAAAGGATGACAAATTTGTTCAATTTCAAATAGAACATGAGCAAGTTTGAACTTTTTCACAAGATTTAAATAGAATAATACAAAACACTAGAAAAAGCCTTTTGAAGAACTTTCTTGTGACCCCAGGACAATAAGCCACATCCCACATTAATTCCAAATAGTAATATATCCAAGAACCCTACAACACCTTTCGTCTCCGTTTCTGCCTCCCTAGGGTTCCACACACTTGAAAAATATGATTTGAACGATCATGGTTTTCTCTATATTATATTGCCATGATTATGTGATAATATGTAACACAGAACTAAAAGCTTACTTTTGATGATTTGACCACTCATTCTCTTCTGTGTCTCCTCTTTGCAGAAAAATGAATTCAAGTCAGTGAAAAAAACATCTCAGTAGTGTCAACACAGATCCAGCATTACTTTACCGTCCTATTTTGTCCTTTCTTAGATTTTTAACTTTCTTTTTTGGCTAACTTGGTTAGATTCATTCACTTCTTTTGCACGAATTCCCATAAAATTCTTGATTTTACAAATTTTATTTTTCTTTTAGAACCCTAGTAACGTTGCTTTGAAAAGATAGTTGCCATTTCCTGTTCACTGATTGTGTAGCTGTTTTCCCATTTAAGGACCATCCATGTCCATCCCAGTTATTTTAAGTTTTTCAACAAGTTCCTTAAATTCTTGATGTGCTTCTTCAATCATTTTGACTGTGCTAGTCTGCGTCACTATATATTTTTTTGAGTGCTAAATGTGCTTAATTAAGTGAAAATAATCTATTACTTCTTTGGACATTGAAATAACATCAATTGGTTAGAAAATATATCTCTTTAAACATTTGATAATTCGATTACAATTGGTGGGACTTTATCTGTCACGACTCAATTTCCATTATAGATCGTGATAACGCCTAATATCTTTTAATACCCATTTAATTGCTCATTTTAATATCTTTGATTTTTATTTTATAAGGAAACAAGTAAGTGAGCGTAGCAACGTAAAGCATAAACTAAACGTAAAAGTAAGATAGTGAATTAAATAATCAAAACCCATAAGTGTTTACTAGAATTTCCAAAACCCAATGTGACATGTGCATGAGCATCTAGTAGAATATACAAAACTCTCTAAGAACTACTGTCTGAAAATAGACAGAAATGATAAAACATAACAAGAGAAGGCTCCGGGTTCTGCAGAACGGGCTATGAGAAGTAGCTCACCACTAGGCCATCGGGTAATGCGGATGCACGCCCGGACGAACTCCAGATGCACGAGGAGTCGATATCGACACTTACCAGTGGGCAATATATATAATGTACGTGAATATTTAATAGGCATGACATACAACATCAATAAAGGAATAAGAGCCAATAATTAAATGATCCTTTAATAAAAAACAATTAAAAGTTTCCAAATATCACATGTTAATCTCAACAAGAAAGGGTCCGACATGTATTTATAAATTCTCAAGTCATGAAAGACATATCAAGTATAATCGGACTCCAAGTGACAACACGCACGAGTTATACTAAGGTCGTACGACCCGATCCATAATAATCGTGTACATACACTATTATGGTCGTACGGCCTGATCCATGGATGTATCCCATAATTATACATAAGTATTGCCGAGGCGTTCGGCCCGATGCATAAGAATAGAGAAACTCTTCGGATCACGAATTATGTATTCACAACTTTAAGGTAAACCAATAAAAGATATAAATTTCCATCAATGATTAAACATTCTGCAAAATCTCTAAGTAATAAA